GAAAGAGTGGGAGGGCGAGAGGGTGCGTGGCTGGGGCACGGGGAGCAGAAGCAGCATGAAATGACTGGGGACAGCAGCAGTGCCGGCCGCGCATGCCCCTACCAACCCAACACCAACCACCACCCTGCGCCTAGGACCTGGGCGATGGTTCTGTGTCCCGCAGGCAGCAACAATGTCATAGCCCCCCAGTCACCCTTCCCGTAGGCTTGCATCCAGCCACCATGCGTCTCCCCTTCCTGGGGCGCAGGAACCCCAGAGCCATGGGCCAACAGCAGCTTTGTAAAGAGAACAGCCTGGCCAGGCACACGCCGTTGCTGCTTTTGGAGCAAGTCCCAGAACAAGAGGCCAACGGGGAAACAACATGGGCCATGGCCCCACCATCGCAACAGCCGCCGGGGCTGTCCTGCACACCAGCCTAGTGATGGATGGGGTGCCAGGAGGCACCTAGGACCAAAGGTCACTTGAAAAGAGGTATTTGCTCCAAGCACATGTCCCCAAGCGCCTGCCTGGCCCCCCAGGACAGCTCTGGGCAAGAGGGCAGCACTGAAGGAGGGCACGGTGCCCATCCTTACCTGCACAATGACAGTGAAGAACACCACCACGATGGTTGTTGCCACAAAGTAATCCTTGGCTTTCACCTTTGCCCTGTCTAGCAAGATGACCAGGGCGAAGGCCACAGCTCCGCGGAGGCCACCATATGACATGACCACCTGGTCGATCCTGTCCAGGGGGATGAGGCGGAAGCGGTTGAGCACGCAGGTCTGGAGGACAACACCTAGGGAAGAAGGAGAAGGAGAGCCTGGGGTGCCAGCAGAGCCCTGCCTGCTCCTGGAGACAGGGCAAAGCCCAGGCCAGGAGCTGTGGCTGGTCCCATGCCCCAGCCTTTCTTGGGGGATACCACTTTTTGCCATGAAAAGGGATGGGTCAGAAGCACAGTGGGGCAGACTGACCCACAGCTCTGAAGAGCAGGATAAAGAACAGGGTGCCCAGCACCAACGCTGTGTCCCATGCCCACTTGGACGTGTCCACAGCCGAGATGCCCAGAAACATGAAGATAATGGTCTCTGAGCTGCTGGCCAGTGTCTTCATGGTGTACTTGACTGTGGTGCGGGATTTCTGGGAGATGTTGGCTTCCACGTACTTCTTGCAGCAGATCCCACAGAAGGTGACTCTGCAGAGGGGCAGAAGGAGCCAGCATGACCCTATGGCGGGATGAGGAATGGGTCTGCTCACCGCCTCCTGCTGCTCAGCACTGCACCCCCGATTTCCTGGACCACCCCAGGGGACACCCCGGTACTCACGCCAGGATGGAGGAGAGCGAGACCATCTCAGCAGCAAGGTACGCGACGTAGGCCAGGAGGAAGACGAAGAGCGGCTCGATGATACGTACGCGCTTGGTGAACCGCGTGATCAGGGCCAGGAGGAAAGCAAAGAGCAGCCCCACGGCTGTGCCCCCCAGGCTCACCAGGAAGAAGGAGGCTGGTGGGGGGAGAAGACTCATATGCACCATAAGCAAGCGAGCCCAGCTCCTGTGCCCCATGGCCATGCCACGCTGGGCTGGCCAAGCCCCGTGTTCCCAACACGGTTCCCCACCAAAGCATCCCGTGATGACAGCCAGTGTGTGACCACCGGGATGGAGATGACAGAGCTATGGTGCTCAGTGCCCATGCCACAGTACGACAGCACCCATGCTTGTCCCCCCCCCCACTTCCACCCCAGAGGAAGAGTCGGAGGGGCTGTGGGGCCCATACTCACCTACCCCCTTCACGTAGTCTGTGGCATGGATGTGTGCTGGGCCCAGCTCCACAAAAGAGTTGAAGACCTTGTACAGCACCTGCAGGCAAGGCAAATCCCTTGGGGAAGGCAGGGTATTGCCCTGCCTTGAGAGGGGCAGCACCTGTGGGCAGGATGGACCCTGTGGAAGAGGCATCGCCTGCTCCAAATCTGCCAGGCAACACAGCTCATCTCGGCAGGCAAAGTCCCCCAGGGCCATGAGAGAGGAGAGACCCAGAGAGCATGGCATGGGTCTGCCCCCGGCTTGGGGATGTCACCTGCATCCTCTGCCCATCCTGGGGGACTCCAGTGCCCTGGCCCACATTGGGCTCCACTTTTGGGTCCCCCAAGCTTCAACTCACCACGGTGACAGCGTCGTTCAGGAGAGACTCGCCGAACACAATGATGAAGAGGGTCTCGTTTACATGGACCTCTTCAAAGACGGCCAGCACTGCCACAGGGTCCACAGCTGAGATGAGGCTGCCGAAGAGCAGGAAATCCATCAGCCCAGCTTCGACTCCCGGATCTGCTAGGACAGAAGGACCAAGCTCAGGCAGACCATCTGCCCCAGAGCCCCTTTCACCAGGCTGAAACAAGGCTGTCCCTCATCTGCTCCTGGTGACTTGCCCGCAGCATCCCAACTTGGAGTGCAGTGGGCTGAGCCAGGGAGCGCTCCCAGACCTGCAGGGTCCCCCAGGTGAAGCAGGGTTCAGCACACCCTTGCTGCAGCATGAAGGGAGCAGGGCTTGGCCATCCCCCCTGGCACCCAGGTGCATCGCTGCCCCTCCGGCAGATACGCACCGGAGGAGGCTTAGCAGCCCCACCTCAGGTCCAGGCATCAAGTGGTCCCTCGGGGCTCAGGAGACTCAAAACACAGCCCATGCCAGCCAGGGCCAGTGGCTACAGCCAAGGACAGGGAACACGGCAGTGAGCCAGCAAAGCTAGCCAAGGTCGGCGACAAAAATAGCAAAGACATGAGTCAGCTCAGTGCTGAGCTGGGCTCGTTTGTCCTGCACGCTTGACAGTTCTGCCAGAGCACCGATCCCAGGATGCCAGGACCCTGCTCCTGCAATACTTCCTGGGAATCCACAGCAGGGCTGGGCAGTGGGCTCTGAACTTGGGGGTGCTTTGCACCCTCCGACCCATCTTTTGGGGATGTGGTCCAAGCTGGGCAGCCCTGTGCACCCACCCATGAGCCCAGCCCGGTGCAGCCCCCAGAGCGCAGCGCCGGTGGTGAAGGAGTTCCAGAGCGTGCCCACCACCGCGTAGGTGAGGATGGCGCCGATGTTGTCGAAGAACAGCCGGCTGGGCATGAAGTAGCCCGAGTCTAGGACAATGGGGGGCAGAAGGAAGAGGAAGAACATGTTGGGCTCCAGCTGGTACTCGGCTTTCTTCGCCACAGCCAACACGATGCCCCCCAGGCCCAGCCCCAGCAGGATGAGGAGGCAGCTCTCCGGGACGACGGACGTCACCTTCCTTGACAGGTGGAAAACTAGAAGGAAAGGAAGAATGAGAGCATCAACCAAACAGGCACATGGACAGAGCATCCCAGACCCACAAGCTCCACAGAAGGGTTGGCTGATGCATCATGGACCCCGGGGAGGACAAGGGAGCACCTAAGGCTGCTTCGTGGCCATGTGTGCACAGAAGACCTTCCAGCTAGCTCCCAGGTCAGGATTTCAGGTCCCTGGCTCTTTGGGATCTCCCTCTCCTCCTCAGCCACTGTCTAACAAGCCAAGCAGCTGGGCATTTTGCTTTTCTTGGCCTCTGCTGTCTGCACTTAAAGGATAAAAGCAGCCAGTGACCACGTTCAGTGTCACAAGCAATGCCGGCTGCTGTTCGAGTGAAGGCATCCTAGTTCACCGGGACACGTTACCCCACTCAGAGACGAGGATGCTCAGCCCTGGTGTCGGGGTGACCTTGTTTGCAGCCGTCTGAGCAAGCAGACAGAGCAGCATGCAAACCACTGAAACACAAGCCAGTCAGCCAGTCTCTGTGCCAGAGCACAACCTTCCTCAGCACTGGCTAACCTACCTGCATGCAAAAAACAGGCACACGGGAGCTGCAGATTTAGAGATGCTTTGAATAATCAGTTTATTCTATGCGAGGTTTGGAGCAAATCTTAAACTGCCGTGGAACGGGATATATTTTTTAAAGCAAGGAGAGTATGCCCTGGTATTCATCCATCAGCAATGGGACAATGAGCGTGTAGCTCAGGCACAAGCCAGCAGGCCGTCATGCCAGACAGCACAGGGGACTCGCTCCTCCAGGCAGCCTTGTCCCCAAGACCAGGGCGTCCTGTGTAATCCCAAATCGTTCCAACTTCCAGGTGGGCAACCCCCCATCCTTGTGGATTTCTCCTCCCTAGTGCAGGGTACTGTATTTTTGCTACCCCCAAAGGACAGTGCTTGGGGAAAGGTTGTCAAGGGTCACAGCAGTTTTGCCCTCTCATCGTTCTGCCATCACTTGTGACATCCAGCCCAGCTCTGTAGCATGACTTGGCCATCAGATGAAGAAACCTTGTCCTGGGGAGTAGGTTCCTCCAGGCACTTCCAGAGCCACCTCTGTCCTTGAGCACCCAGCAGGTACAAGGGACATCAGAGCAGCCTCCGAGCCGTCACTTAGCTGCAAGCCCAGCCCTGCTGCCAACCCAAAACCCAGCCCCTAAAGCCCTTTAGACGGATTAAAGGTGCCCACTGCTTGTGCCAAGTCATCCCATCAGAAGGAAAGCTCTGCTGTGGTCACACGCAGACCCTAGGCTTCTTCCCTTCTTGGGAACCCCCATGGACAGACCATAAGGTCTGCCTAGCCCAGAGTCCTGTCTCCAGTGGCATAGACCTGGAGAGGAGCCCAGGAACAGGCAGTGCTTCATCAGTAGGTTTCCATGTCTCTATGCCCTTGTCATTCTCCTCTGAACCTGTCCCAGTCCTGCTCTATCCTTTCTGGGTCCCAGCGTCCCTGAGATGCGGACACCCTGGGCACTGAGGTTGTGGCCTCCTGATGTTCTTCCTTTCGCCTTTCCTAACATCTTAGTTGATTTGCTTTCCTTCACTGCAGCTGAGCACTGAATTAGAGGAAAGAACTCGATGTCAAAGGTCTGGTTCCTAAGCAGAGACAACATCTGTCAGCCCACCACCAAACGTGCAGGGTAAGGGTCGCTTTTCCTCTCGTTGAGACCTCCACAGTGACCCGTGCTGCTCCTTGGCACGATAAGACCTGTCCGTGCGGGGCAGGGCTGGCTGAGCTCCTGCTGAGCCCCGGCACTGCTTCCCTGCCATAACGCCTCAGGAACACT